AAATAAAGATGTAAGTTTCTTGAATGGCAGTGCCTGGCATACATGGGTGCTAAACATATGTTTAATGAACAAAGACACCACTTCCAGAAAAGTTGGTTTACAAATGAACATGGCTTCATTGGAAGCTGCTCTGTGAATGTATCTGGTATATTACTGGATATATCTGATGAGGGCAGTACCCTGAGACATCTCATAACCAATAAAACTAAATATTTTATGAGGCTTCAGGACACACGATACTTCCTTCATTTAGAGAACAGCAAAGCAAGACAAATTAGCAATATTAAAAGATTAAACAGTCTCTGATTGTTTTTCCTGTGATTTGGCCTTGTGTCCTAAACCCTAACTAGACCCAAACGCGGATGAGGAATAAATATGAAGGGTGATGTGAAAGTCTAATAAATGCACAAAGATGAAACCAGACTCTGTGTTAGAGGGTACACTTTCTACAGAGGACATCTATAAAGTTTTACTTTGCACTGACCTTTATGTACAGGTTTTTTAAGTGTAATAATGCACAGTTGGATTAGCTTAGAATTCTTTAAATATATTAAGTTATATTTTTAAATATATACTTTATATTTATATATTTAAATTATATATTTCCTTAGTACACGTATTTCAAGGTAAAGTGAGAAAAGTCTTTAATCCTTTCACACATAGAGCATTTTATATTTAGTCTCACATTGTCCAAAAAGCCAATGACTGCTTCTACCTCACAGAACAAGCTGTAGATCCTAATGCAATCTGCCCTGAGGACAGCAGAGGGCACCGTCATATGAAATGGCCATTTTTAATTATGTCTAAGAATCCTCTCCAGTTAGGAAGCACTAGTCTTCAAAGAGGCTAGAATCTTCATAAACTGTCTTATACATCAAAAACTATTTTAAAATCTCTATTTTTGTGACTACAATGTGATATATTTCAATTGACAAGTTAAAACCTGTCATAAATTATCAAAAAGAATAAAAATTAATATAAAATTTTACTACTTTGCATGAATTAGCTTACTGACTCTTCCCTCACACTATTTCTATTACTACATGATGCCATTTATATGAAGTTCAAAAAGAATATATTGGTTACAGAATAACTAGCTTATAAAACTATAGAGGAAAGTAAAAAGGAAAATATAAAATTCAGGGTAATAGTTTCTGCTAGATGGAAAGGAGGGGGTATGGCTTAGAAAGGGTGTGTAGAGGGCTTCAGGAGTGCTGGCAATGTTCCAATTCTTGATCCGTATCATAGTTACATAGGTTCCCATTTTGTAACAAATGATTAAACTAAACATTTGTGTTCTATACACACAAAACCAAAATATTAGAAGGTCTTATCAAAATTGCATCAGTGGTCAAAAGATATATCTTAAAATGCAAAAGATAATGATAAAATAAATAGTACATAAGCAGAAATATTTGCTTCAAAAACAGGGGTTCTAAACCAAGGGTCCATGGATGAGATTTTATATGAAGCTTTCTAAGATAGGGTTCCTAGCTTTGCTACATTCTCAAAAAACTGGAAGAACAATGTGGAAATATCATCGAGTTATTAGTATGATCCAGCTTTCTTAGAAGTAATTAAGTTCCAAAACTATTCAAACAATACAGAATTACACACATCTAATACTAGATGAATTTCTGGTTAGAGAAATCATTATCTTCATTCATAAAGTTAAAAATTCAGATATGCTTAAACCCCAAATTTATTTTCTGGTAAAAATATAAATAAATAAAAAGGCCTTTCATTCTTATTATGTTTATTTCTTTAAAAGATAATTGCCTGATTAAAACAAAAGCATAATAATAATTTGTGAAGTTATAACATGTAGAAGCAAAATATATGACAACAATAGCACAGAGGACAGGAGAAGGGAAATAAAAATATATTGTAATGTTTTTATATTTTGTATGGAGTAGTATATTATTTGAAGGTGGACTATGATAAGTTTAAAATGCATATTATTAACTCTAAACTAACCAGTCAAAAAACTATATATGTATGTATATGTTTGTGTGTGTACATATATATTACTAGAAAATATCTTTTTCTGTGTTTTAGAAATATATATTTTCTACCCATATATTCTAGGCACTGCCATTCAAGAAATTTGTCTTAGTTTTTTGTTTCATTTTCCTAGTAATATATCTGATATATATATATATATATATCAAAGAGGTTTAGTCAATAGTAAAGGTAAAATGGGGTCATAAAAAAATAATCTAGGATGAGGCAGGAAAAGAGAGTAAGAAAGAACAGATGGGACAAATAGAAAACAATACCAAGATGGTAGAATAAACTCAATTATATCAATAACAACACTGAATATAAATGGTATAAAATTCCAATTAAAAGTCAGAGATTGTTAGACTGGATAAAAAGGCAAGACTCAAATATATATTTTGTACTAACTAGAATTGCCTTTGAAAAATACAACACAGGTTAAAATGAAAGGACAGAAAAAGATATACCACAATAATGTTAATCATAAGAAAGCTGGCATGATTGTATTTATCTCAGACAAAATAGATTCTTGACTGGATCCTGGACCAGAAAAAGGACATTAGTAGGATAATTTTAAAAATTTGAGGAGCCAGCACAGTGGCACAGTGGTTAAGTTCGCATGTTTTGCTTCAGCAGCCTGGGGTTCACCAGTTCAAATCCCAAGTGCGGACCTATGCACTGCTTGGCAAGCCATGCTGTGGCAGGCGTCCCACATAAAGTAGAGGAAGATGGGCACGGATGTTAGCTCAGGGTCAGTCTTCCTCAGCAAAAAGAGGAGGATTGGCAGCAGATGTTAGGTCAGGGCTAATCGTCCTCAAAAAAAAAATTGAACAATAAAACTTTGAATGAGGTCTGTAGACTATTTGAAAGTATTGTATTGATATTAATTTTTATAACTATACTGTGGTTATACACGATATTAACATTTCGGAAACTGAGTGAAAGGTATATTGGAGTTATCTGTATGATTTTTGCAAGTTTTTCATAAGTATGTAATTATTTCAAAATGAAAAGTCAAAAATGTTTTAAAAATTAAAAATTTCCGCTCTTCAAAAGACCCTAATAAAAAAAGGCAGAGAGAATACATTGACAGTACTTACATTTGACCAAGAACAACTATATATTTGGTGACATAAAAGGACTTCTATCCAGAATATATAATAATATATAGAATGCAAAGAAAGGCATACTACTGAGGAATTAAATAAGCAAACCACTGATATATGGAATAAGACAAATTAATCTCAAAAACAAACTGTGATATATCTATACAATGAAACACTTCTCAACATTAAAAAGGAATGAAGTAGTGATACATGGTACAACACTGATGAATCTCAAGCTGGAAATAAAAGAGTACATACTATATGAATCTATGTATATAAAACTAAACCAAAACACAAACCTTATTTAGAATGAGAAAGTGGTCAGTGTTTGCCTTGGACTAGGGTGGGAAGAGACTGGGAAAGGGTACATGTAACATATGGGGGTGATGAAAACCTTCTACATCTTGATTGTGGAGGTGGTTACACAAGCATAGAATGTAAATTATACCTCAATGAGACTGATTTCAAAATTGTTAAAATGGAGGTTAGAAGAGATAAGTCTATGATTAATATACATCTTTTAGCATCCTTAATTATAGGTCTTCCTTTTCTTTTTGATGAGTGTTTTTTACATCATCATGACTATTTTCATACCATTTTGGTACAGTGGACAGATTACGAGTGTTAGCTTACATAATTTGAAAATCTGAACTATGAAAATTTGAGCCTACAGCACTACATGCCAGAGTGGAATGGCTTTCTCTTCAGTGTCTGAAAAGGAGAGTCAAAACTTTAAACACTGATAGTCTCCTCTTAGTGTATGCTCCAACATTTTCCTTTGCCAGGATCAAGTGTATAATGAATAGGAAAAAGGAGTGAGGCCACGGTTAGCCTTAAGGCTGAAAAACATTCCCAGTGAAACAAGAATTAATGAGTTTAAAGCCTGAACATTACCATACTGGCATTTCTGTAAAAGTAGTATAAGGTAATCCTAAGACTCTAGTCAATATCATGTGTACACTCACGTGTACTTTAGGTTAAGAATTATGCTAAAACCTATATATTCATTAACTCGTTTAAATCTATCTACAACACTTAAGGGAGATTATTTCCATTTTATAGACAAAGAAATTGAGACTTAGACGAAACAGTTACTTGCTTAAAGTCAAATAGATAAAAGCAGCAAACTGGGAAAGAACCTAATTCTGACTCCAGTGCTTGGGCTCTTCTCCATTTTACCTCCAAGTATGCTATCTACTCTGCCTTTCGCATTATAAAGAGGCTCAAGTGTGCAAGTCTGTACAAAGAACACTGTATTGGTTCTCCTAGCTAAGCAAGTAGGTCCTAGGAATGGTACTGAGAAAGCACCTTCAAACATACATAAACTGTCAGATTCCACAAAATGTCCTTCCTATAAAGTACAGCTGTCCAACAGTAAAAAGAATTCTAGGGATTGAAGGGCTATTGGTCCCACATAACTTTCTCTAATTTTATTCCCTAATCAGCCCAAAGCCTCCACAAAGTTACTACATATCCGAGTAGAGTGAAGATATGAAATGGATCTCAGAAAACCTCTTTTTATTGGTAAGAGGACGACTACAGTAGTCTTTCTCCATTCTCTTTTTCTTTTCTTTCTCAGTTTTTTACTTTTCTTTATATTTCTTTTGAATCTTAAAGTTTCATACGTTTCCTTGGCTTCCCTCTCCAGGGATTTTGCTAATATGGATTTGATTTATTCAAAATCATTTGGTTTTGTGAAACTTTTGAAATGTACAGTAATAAAGTAATGGTAGAATTATTATACTAGACTGAAATTATCTACTTTAATGACTGACAAAAATATTTGCTAATTGATTATCCTACTTAATACATAAAATATTGATATTAAGGCCAAAAAAATTTGAGCATATATTAATTAAATACATGCAAGAAGTAATACAATTTTCATCCTACCTGAAATCACATGCCGTAGTAACTTCTGCTCCTCCACCCATTGCCCGACCTTGAACCAGTGCAACACTTACTAAAGGAAGTCTGTATATTGAAAGAAAGAGAAAAAACGAATGTGAGTATTTTTAATTTCAATATTAACTTACTCTTATTTTAAAAACTTAAGATGCAGTGGAAACAAAATTATTGAGCAGTATTTATAATAACAAACAAATCTTTAAGGACAATGGAACCTTTAGCCTGTGCCTCAAGAGGAGAAAAACAGTTTAATAATGAAGATATAATAATTCATAATAAATGCCATGTAATTTACCAAAATATCTCCCTGACTCATTATATATGTTTAAATAGTATCCATACTGTAACTTTCTCTCAAATAAATGGAGTTTCTGTATAATTTACAGCTCCTGGAACTTCTCAGTAGCTGGTAATTGGGAATAATTCAATGTGATATCATCTTAGTCCATTTTTATTGAGATGCGGATATGGATGGGAAAATTAAGGCTGTATCCAAAGGGAGGAAATGTGGTTCAGAAGACTGAGCTCCAAAACTGTGTTATTATGAAGGTTCCTATCAAAAATCTTTTCATTACTCACTAAAAATGATCCACAGACTAATCCTACATAAAGGAATGGTTCTGCGGTAAAAATCAATCTCTTCCCCTTTCCTGTTTGCAAGGACCCACTTTGCAGGAGTGTATGAATATTCAAAGATAAATCAAAAATGTTTTGAAAGTAAAGAATTTTCAGTAGGTTCCAACAAAAATGCAAAGCTGCAGAAATAAAGTAATTGAAAATTTCTTAACACACACTGCTTCCAAATAAAAAGAATTATTTAAAAAAAAACTTTTTTATGTTTACCTAAGAAAAAGTCAAACGTAGTAGGGAGAAGATGGTGACAAGAACTAAAACAATGAAAAAGCATTTTAGAATAGTAATGTTATGATTCCATTATTCTTTTTAGAGTCTCAGATACACAGAGCATAAAACTACAGTAATGTCCAATTAATTAGTATGCTAAATAAATATAAATTTCCTTAGCTTTTGTAATTTTTAAATTGTCAACATTCAGAATATGGAAGTAGAAAGTTCATCAGCCCAACCAAGTCATAGTGTGTAACCCCAAATGCATAGTGATAGGCCAAGAAGAATTTTCTCCCTTTTCTTAAAACTTTCACCTAAGTGCAAAGAACCCATCTTCCTCAGAAAGATGTGAAAACCTCTCCAATCCAGAGTTCTTGATCTTTCCTCTGGACACAGACCACTTCACTATACATTCTAAGAATTTTGAATATTAGGTGATCTTTACATGTCATCTCTTGATCAGTGTCTTTATTCTGCTCCAATAGCAGTATTTAACTTTCCCATGTCTATCCCTAAATATAGGTAGCACTATAAGCTTTTAAGGAAAAAGGCCATGTCTTAAATTCTTTTTCTATACTTGTATAGACTTCTAGACAGTAACATCTAATTAAATGACTGTCCTTGATGGCACAAATAAATTTCCACATTAGAATAAATATAATTTGAAAATCAGCTATTATTTTTTTAACTGGTACAAAAAATAGAATAATGAAGAGCTATTTTTGGTATTTTAGAAATCAGATTTTAAAAAGAAAGATACATTACCTCATAAGTCTTGTTAAGGTGTTTTGCATGAACATACTCATGGCCACTCCATCCTTTAAATAAGAATATGCATAAACACAAAGATATAATGCAAATGTATTACATAAGAAATTTTAAAAAGATATTTCCAGGATTTAGAAAGTAATGAAACCAAAAATACACCTAATTTTTTTAGTAATGTTTTCATTTAAAACTCTCTGATAGTGTCCAAAATGCAAATGACGCAGTATTTGATTTTGTTGAGCTCCTGGGCTCCTTGAGCTCAGCTACGCACGAGGTATTAGCAAAGACTTATGTGTGAGAGTTAGATCATATACCCTTACAACAGTGTGGAGTTCTACTCAGGGTAATTTGCTGGGAAGGGCACAAGATACACCCACCTATTATCCCAGACTGTAATCCCCTGAGAATATAAACATCTAAAAAACAAATTTATTAAAAGTAGTCTAAACTCATTGCCTCTTCTTTTTTCTTCACACGTTTTCTTCAACCTAGTGTAATCTGTTCTTCGCCCTTCTCTCAAAAGACTCCCCTTCAAAGGTTTCTAAAACCCTCCCATTATTCAAATTAAATGGCTTTTCTCCATCCTCCTCTTCCTCTCTCTCCATAACATGTGCTACCTTGCTTTGACCAGTTTCTTCATTTTAACATTGTTTGTTTCTAGCAACATCCTCCACTCCTGATTCTCTTCCTAGTTCTCTGACTGTTCTTTTCCAGTTTTCTTCTTTCTCTCTTCTTATTCAGCTAATCCTCTAAATGCAGGTATTCTCAAAAGTCCAATCCATGATTCTCTTTCTTATCTTTATCAATTTCATTCTTGGAAGTCTCGTTCATTATTACCCTTGCTTCCACTACTGTTTTCATGTAGAGTTCCAAAACCCATGAGAAATTTCCACTTTCTGCCAACACTTCAAACTCAGCATGGCAAAACTAACTGGGAGTGAAACAGGTGAGTTTGAATCCCAGTGTTATCACTTACCAATAACATGAAATTGAGCAAGTCATAACTATGAACCTCAGTTCCTCATCCACAAGGAATGAGGAATAAAAAAATACCTGTTTTATTTGATTTACAGGATGGTTGGAAAGATGAAAATGAATCTAGACACTGTGAAAAATCACATAAATGTAAGCAAGTTCTGAGTTAGTGGAAAAAGGTCTTCTGGTCAACAAGGCTCAGAAATTGGTATTTCTTTGATTTCACAATTCTCCTACAGTCGATTAGTTACCAAGTACGTTCCCCCAATTCTTCCTTTGAAATTTTTCCAATATAAATCCCTTCTTTTTCTATTTTCACTACCATTCCTCTAGTTCACACTTTGTCACTCATGCTTAGATTATTACAACAGCTTTGCTTCCTAACTCTCTGTATTTAATTTCTTTTTCCTCTTTAATATATCTTGCATCCTGCTGTCTGATAAACCTTCCTATAGGATGATGATTTTTATCACCAATAAAATAAAGTCTAAATTCCTTGGGAAGGCCTGATCCCACTTGATCCCAAACTATTTTATCAACTCTATTGACTACCATAACCCTCATCCAAGCATCCTAACTTCAGCCACATTAATTTGTCATTCCTCCAACATGTTACACTTATTGTTCCTGTGTCTTTGCTCACATCATTCCCACTATCTGGAATAACCCGTCCTTGTCTCCACCTATTTCAAGAAATGCCAAGATCAAATAATATTTTTCCATCTGGATTTTCTATATCCCATAGTAATAGTTTTCTCCTTTGTGTTTCCATGGTGTTTTTATTTTTGTAACTTATCAACAGTACTTATAGATTGTCTTGCATGCATTGTGTTTGGATTCATTATTAGACACATTATTTATACAGGATAGGGACTAGGGAACCTCATAAGTGGAATGTGGTCTCAGTTCTTAGTCCCCAAAAATCTTATGAGAGATACAGAAATGCAACATGTATGAAGGTATTGCATAGTAAGTATTTTAAGAAATGCCTGAACAAACTGGGAATAGCACCAAATAAGAAACAATTCATTTCAATTGGGTTGGAGTAGTTGGGAAGGGTTTATAGAAGAGAAGGGGAGAGGGCATTTGCTAGCCTAGACCATAAGTTTCTTGAGGTTGATGGTACATCCTCTTTATCCTCAGAAGCTAGTACAATGTTCTGCATTGTATGTGCTGGTTGAAGTTAACTGAATCAGATGAATTTTAGATGGAGAACTACATTGATTTATAAAATAAATGCAGTCAGTGAAAGGTAAAAACCAACATGGTACAAATTTCCTAATCAAAAGCCTTTATCAGGGGCAAGCCTGGTGGCACAGTGGTTAAGTTTGCACGCTCCATTTCAGTGGCCCATGGTTCACAGGATGAGATCCTTGGCATGGACCTACACAGCGCTCATCAAGCCATGCTGTGGTGGCATCCCACATAGAAGAACAGGAAGGACTGAGAACTAGAATATACAACTATATACTGGGGCTTTTGGGAGGAAAAAAAAAAGAGGAAGATTGGCAACAGATGTTAGTTCAGGGCCAATCTTCCTCACCAGAAAAGCCTTTATCAGGAAGGTCAGTCTATATTACAAAGTGATGAGAAAATTAATACAAGCACAAAGAGCTAAAAGTCTTTAAAAGTAGACTGATTTATAGTCTATTTAAAACCTGGCCAATAGAACTGGTTAAATTATCTCAATAAAGTCATTTTAATAGGTCTATTTTCTATTACTAGATTTAGAGTACTTGAAATTCTGATGGAAATATCTAAAATTGGTAGTAATGATGGTGATGCAGGTATTAGCCTGTGTTCTCTTACAATTTCCAATGAAGGGATAAAAGTCACACTAAAAAAGGTTTAAAAGCAGCCTAGAATAATGGTTAACAGCACAGACTCTAGAGGCTAACTGCCTAGTTTTGAATCTGGGCTCTATCCATTGACTAGCCCATTTGACTTTGGGCAAGATACTTCCCTCTATATGCCTCAGGATCTTCACATGTAAAATGGTGCTAATAATAGTACCTACCTCAGTAGGGGAGTTAGTAATGATTAAATAACTTATGACAGGTAAAGAGCTTAGAAGAGGGTCTGGGCATATAGGAGAACAAAAATGTTATCTAACTTGTTATTGTTAACATCAGTGATAGCACTGGCAATCACATAACAAGTATGTCTTGGCCTTAAGTGTACCATAAAGTAGAGATCACATTGTGCTAGCCAACATGACCTAAGGAGAAGAAAGATTTAATTTATTACATTTGTCCCCCAAAGCCAGTGAGCCAACAATGGTTATACTCTCAGGCCTCTTACTGGGCTGAAGGAAGAAAATAAGTCAATTAGATAAACTCCTACCTGTGATAGAATGAGTTGAGGGAAAGGGACCAATGAAAAGCTGGACCTGCTCTGACAGCTAAAAGCTGGAAGCTAGGAAGTACTTAAAAAAAAAAAAAGGTTTTGAGAGCTGTTGCAGATGGTGATATTTTCGTCCGATCTGGATGATACTCTGACACCTAACCCTACTCCTCCAGCTCTTCCCAGTATAACAAAGATGAGAAGCACAATATTCAGCCTAAGTGCCAAAAGAACTATTAACAACATATTTCCTCTAAGCCTCATGTATCCTGAGTGGAAAAATGCCCAGCTTGTAAAATATCTTATCCTAGAACATAAGTGAGCTCTCTGTTTCCCTAAGTGCTTGTTGTATGGATTTATTACTTTGCTCAAATTACATGGAAGGGTTTAGAGAAAATTAAAATAGCTTATTTATAAATTATTGACTAAAATGGAACTGTACAAGAGTAGTAGCAAAAGCAAAGAAGTGAGACAAGAACTTTGAGGTCACTGTAGAAATTTAAGCAACACAGAAAACAGGGTCAATAGATTGGCAGAAAAGTAACAAGGAAGGTCAGGAGGCAAAGGAGGATGTTATCTTCAAGCTATCAGATAAAGAGTATAAGGGTTTCTAAATGTCAGACTTTTCCTTGAGGCGTTATGCCTATTCATTGTAGAGTAAGCAGGTTTTTATTTCCCTATGTCTTGAAGCTTATTCTTAGATTTTGAGTTTGAAAAAAGACTTTTTGCAGTCTACAGAACATCTGTGGCATCAAATCCAAATCTTATAACTGGGTTAATACTTACATTAGATTTTTTCCTATTTTGTTCTTTTTTCTGTCCCATAACCTTGCAGGGCTAATGCTTGTGTTATGCTAATCCATCTCCCTGCCTGACCTTCTCAACCAAGGACTGCCTAATAGGGAGCTCCTTTACTGCTCATTAAACAAAGAATACCAAAATGAAACCAACTTCTTGAGAGACCAGGTAGATTAAAAAAAAAAAGTGGAATGATAAATATAATCAAATATTGATGGTTGTTGATGCTCTTATGAGTACATGAGGGTTTCATTGTATTAGCCACTCTACTTTTGTTTATATTTGGTAATTTTCATTAATAAAATATCTTAAAATTTTGAAAAAATACAAGGGCAAAAACATCAACATAAATATCTTTTTTAAACAAAATCAATTTAATAATTTCTTTCAAGTATCTTATTATAATTAGCAGGGAATGTAATCCAATTACTAAAATCATTATCTATTCTAGTTATCTCATCATCCTCAGAAAAGCAAATTCACCAAATAAGCAGACACTAGTGAGGCATCTGCAACCAGAAAGAGTAACTATATTAGATAAGAAGAGCCTCACTGAGAGAAAAGCTCTTTATAACTTGAAGTCACGTTAAGGGTCTCACAGTATCTCAGCTGTGATGGGCAGATGCATTCACACCTGCAGCTGCAACTCAAACAGGTATGAAGCTCAGAAGACTTGAGCCCACTTGTTAAATCTCAGTTTTACACATACAGTAGTCCCCCCTCATCTGTGGTTTCGTTTTCCGTGGAACCATAGTTCAAAAATATTAAATGGAAAATTCCAGAAATAAACAATTACGGAAGTTTTTAAATCACCCCCTGTTCTGAGTAGCAGGATAAAATCTCGAACAATTGTGATCCGTCTGCTCAGAACATGAATCATTCTTTTGGCCAGTGTATTCATGCTGTATATGCTACCTGCCCATTAGTCACTTAG